GCCCCAACTCACCCTTGATAAAGGCTTTGGTAAGCTGCGGTGCTACAAGAATTGCCTCCCCCTTCCCTTTCCCTCCTCCACACCGCACCCAACTCACCCTTGATAAAGAGTTTTGGCATTGCTCCAAATATTCCCAAACTAAAATCTCTCGCATAGGAAAAACGCAAGCAGTAAAATCCTTTGCTTATTGCAAATGCAAGATAGTCCCTCTACTAGGGAGCTGAACACATTGGCCGAAATGAGTGCGCGAAATGATCTCAACACGGCCTACGGGCCCCGTTGTCCGAGGCCTTGCTGATATAACAGTATTCCGACTTGGCTGCATTTCCTCCCTCTCCCCCCTCTCCCCCCACCTATCTTCCCGACAGGAAGATGCAGCAGGACATGCGAAAGGATAAAGCTAACCAAGTGTTCGATCATCTGTTTCGTTTCAGTGTCCACCTCGATTGTCGAGAGCAATCGTGGATCAACAACCGATATATCGGGCATATAGTTGTCGCGACGCTCCCTCTCCTCCTCTTGCAGTTTGATTGAGATACCGCGTACGGGGCCTTTTTCGATCCGTTTCATCAGATGGGTTATGAAGCTGCAATTCCCCATTTTTGATGCCAGTAACCAGTTGGCGTGCACATGCACAGAGATCTGTTAATTTTCCCGCACCCTAGTAATTTAATGTAACACACACACACACACACACACCCACACACACACAGCACCTCATGACGGACTCAGCTGGATATGAACTGGTGGGAATGGCAGATAAAAACGGATGGACAAAGAGGATTCAGCGATCAAGCAATGAAAGAACTGGCAAGACCAACGGTGCAATAGAAGGATCCACTTAAGCATCCCAGTGAAATCAAACAGATATAGCAAGAATATCAAAAACGTCTCCGCACATCGATATGGCAAGCCCAAATTCCAGGAGAGCGAAAAAATTATCAGCAATATCACCGGGAAATCTTTTCTTAAAAACTTTTTTTTTAGAAAAAAAGAAAAACCTTGAATATATAAAAAACTTTTTTTTTCCAAAACAAGTTTTCTAAAAAACCTTCTTAAAATCCTCATTTTCC